ATTTGAAGTGACATTGAAAGTCTGGACAAACAATAAGAAACAACATTGGAGCATGTGACATGATATGTAGGACAACCATAAAATTGACCAGTAGGAATTAACCAATAGGAATAGACCAATAATTCTCTTAGGATATCGGATGAATATCCTAACACATCAGAAATGTGAATTCAGTAAACAATGCTTTAGCTATTGAGCAGTTTAAAATATTGCTGAACAAATCAATGAAGTGGTTCGTCATTATGAAATGTCAGATCTCTAGAACATAACTATAATACCAGTGAACTAAAAAAAATTAAAACTGGTGAAATAAAACAAATAAGTAGTATTAATAAGTGGAATTGTTTGATATTACAGTTGAAAGATATTCTCTAGGTGAATCAACATTAAATCATTCCTACTTTGTCTATAAACATCTAGCATAATAATGATCGTAGTAAATTCGCATATAATCAGTATTTAATTGACACTTGTAAATGCCTCCCTTAAAAAGCGTTCATCGTGAGGAGAATGGTAACTTTACAATTAAAGCGCATGACTTTTAATTAGAGTCATAGGTTCGAACTCATTCCCATTTATTTCAATATACGTAGTCACACACAGATAATATTTAATCTCAAACACATAGACATATATTTACTAAATAAATCACATAAGCTAATGGTCATAATCGTTATAGGATTTTGGGAATGTGTAAACATTACAACTCAATCAACCACCTTAAATATTCCATAGTTTTAAAGAATGGACTAACTTGAATTCGGCAATCATCGAAGGTTATCAATGGCTGAATATCTGTTTCATATAAGTATGAAACTTCTCAGTAGTACACAGTCACTTCACTAGAAATGGGACACATAAGCTTTCAGCATTTCAGCCTATACGTACTTCTCAGACCATTGAGTTACCATTCAATTACATTGAAATTTAGTTGATTGTACTTTAAAGGAATGAGTATATATTTGATAATTCTGATGTTAATTATCGGATTCTTAGTCATTTAAGTATTATTAGTTCATCAACATCATTTTCACAACAGTCAAAATCCAACTCAATTAACACCGTTGGATGCCGGCCCAGTGGTCCGATGGTTGGGTGTTCGCGCACAATACCGAAGGTCTCAAGTTTGAATCCTGCGAGCTGCAGGAGTTGTGGATGCGCACTGCTGATGAGTCCCATACCAGGACGAAACGGCCGTCCAGTGCTTCCAGGTTTCTAATGTTGGTCTAACAATGATTGATTGATGACTTCAAATGTGTAAAAACACAAATCTCCAAAATTCTAACTGAAAATACATTTTATAAGGTAAGACGTTTTTATTTTACTCTCTCTCTTTTTGTTTTTGACAGATCACATTCGTTCATATTTTCTCACAAATGATTTATTTGCAAATATGTTCTTCTTTTCTTTATTTTTTTTATCCTTAAGCTTTTACAAACATCTCTTGATCTTTGGGGTATTGAAATATTTGAAGTGGATCAGTTAACTGCTAATCCATTAACGTGTATATTTTATAATATTGTACAGGTAGGTTTTTAAACTTTCTTATTTATTCATTTTATTTTCATATTAAAAATATTGTAAATTATCAGTAGTGATAAGAATATTATTATTTGGAATAGTGGTTCAAAAAAATTGTCAGAATAAGGAGTTTATGAAGATTATTGAATGCTTCTGATATCATGAATTGACCAAAATAAGGCACCCACTAGAAATCGTAAAGCATCAGACAGCTCTTTCGTACTAAAATGGGACTTCTCAGCATTTCTGATCCATGAAGCCTCCAGAAATCTAACCCGGAACTTTCAGTTCTCTCATTAAGTCAGCGAAATTGGATGCTGGTTTAAAGTTTAAGCGAGACCGAAGAACTCGATTATCATCCCCAGTAAGATCGTGGGTATTATTAGCTTTCGACGATTTCCAAAGTCATGTCATTTGAATATCCATCCATCGCAATGATATCAACAAGTTCTGTATAACTATCTTAATTTCCCCTGTTAAATCATATAATTCATGTGCACTCAAATTGATAATATATCAACTTTGCGAAAACATTTATTTTGCCTTGTCTACCTTCAGCGCAAACCATTTAAGACAAGGATGGTTTTGTTGGATGTAATATGATTAGACAGTTTTACAAAACAGTTTTGGATATTAAAAGTTTTCTATTCAGCACTCACTATTAAAAGAAAACTTTGATATCACGGCGAAGAAATTTCGTGAGGGCATGATTTTGAAGCTTGGAACAAACAGAGCTGAAAATCTCCTTTGCTAAAACATCCGGTGTCATATTCATGGAAATAACCCACCGAAGTCGATGGAAGTCTTTGGATTTTTGGAAATACTTATATATGAAAATAAATAAATAATTTTTGGATCTAAGATAAATAATGCTAAGCTCAAGCCAAACTCACATTCAACTTGATAAACATAATAACGGCAGCCGACTTTCAAAGCTCTAAAGAATTACGAATTCAAAAGGGCTGTACAGATTGTGAACAACTGAGAAGGATAATTCCGAACAGACTCGGTTGGAGAATGCTTATCAGTGACCTATGCTCTGCGAGAGGAAATAGGCGTAAGGAAACTCCAAACTCTGCTGATCATGCCTGATTGATGATTGTTTTCCAGTCTAATCATTTATACGACGAGACTAATCAACGCGAACAAAACATGAAAGCAAAGTTTAACGCCGTGGTACGATTCTAATCATTTAGGAGATAAAATAGACAACGGAAATGTTTGAATTAACATTTAATAAGTATTGTAGAATAGAATGTCTGTTCCGATATAGTAAGTAGACTCTCTAGTACTTGTATCAGTGTTGATTTATTACGTAGTAAAAGTTCGTTTTTAGGAAACCCTGCTTGATCTTGATTGTTTTCATGATGATTGGGACTTGTCAACGAGCCGTACTTACCATTCTTAAGGGTTTGATGCTCTCAGTGAAATTCAAGCCCTTGTCACTTAGCTTCACAGTTCGAGACGTCACATGTGAGCTATCAAGATAGTGATTGATCTGCTGTAGTACTGAATTGACGTTGGATTAGTTGGTTTATCCAATTCAATTGAACGATACAATACACTGTATTATTCATGGATTGGATGAATTTTTGTTTAGTTTGTCGTGAAACACTAAACAAAGTAACTCACTCTTCACAAAGTCCTTCCAAATAAATATTACCTTCGTGGTGAAAATTAGATCAATTTCATATTGTACTCTACTAGTAGGATCATTAATCGATCATTGTCAGACTACCATTGTAACTTTGGAAGAATCGGACTGTCCTTTCGTCCTAACATGGGACTGAACAGAAGTGTGTATTCACGACTCCACCAGCTGAGATCGAGTCTGCTAACTTCAGTCTCAAGTGCGAAGGCTTGATCTCTTGACTTCAACATTGTTAAAATGTAGAACTTTGATCGACGCACTCTATTATATGATTTTCAAATGTAAAATTATAGTTTTTTTCTGTTTTACTTTTTGTTATAGAAAAGAAATCTTTTTCAAAAATTTTCTATACCTGAACGTAATTTACTTTTATATATGACTGCCGTTGAAGAGAAATATAATGATAATCCATATCATAATCGTATTCATGCGGCTGATGTTGTACAGTCAACACATGTCTTATTAAATGCACAATCATTAGAGGTAAATCACAGTGTGATCAGTTAATTTGAATACTACCGTAAAATAATTTTGTTGCTTTTTGCTTTGTGTGATGTTATGCGTTCTCCTCAGGCTATCAGTTGATTAGTTAAGTCCTAAAGCTCTCGCTTTCGTTTTTTGAACAACATCATGTTAACTGAAACTCTGAATATCAAAGTGAATGCTTGAAAATCCAATCGAAATCATCAAATGATTGTCTTTACCTCATCAGATAAATCAAGAGCGGTAAAGCAGCAAGACCAGGTAACGTCCCAGCAGATGTAGCAGCAACTATAAGCATACTCCACATTCTCTTCAACAAGATTTGAGATGAAGAACAAGTACCAACATACTGGAAAAAAGGATATCTCATCGAAATACCAAAGAAAGGCCATCTCAGCAAGTGTGAGGACTACAGAGGCATCACTCTTCTTTCGATTCCAGGAAAAGTCTTCAACAGGGTATTGTTAAGTAGAATAAAGAACTTCTTCGACGCCCAACTTTGAAATCACCAGGCTGTATTTCGTAAGGATCAATCGTGTACCGACCAAACTGCGACATTACAGATCAATAGATTGAATGGAACTCACTACTACACATCAACTTCATCGACTACGAGAAAGCATTCGATAGCGTGGACAAGAAAACACTATGGAGGCTTCTTCGACACTACGGCGTGCCTGAGAAAAGATAGTCAACATTATAGGGAGTTTTTATGATAGATTAAACCGCAAAATCGTGCAAGAAGGACGGCTGATAGACTCGTTCGAGGTAAAGACCGGTGTCAGGCAAGATTGCTTACTCTCACCCTTTCTCTTTCTCCTGGTGATCGACTGGATTATGAAGACATCAACATACTATTTCCGACTCGTCAGCTGGACAAACCTGCATCTCAAAGGTAATGTTCACACAGGGATATTCAACTCTGGAATTTAGGTACATCCATCTGACAAATTCCGGAACAGAATGAAATGCTCTTCATTGGTTCCACTGCTAACCACTATTCGTCTCTGCTAATAAATGCAATATAGTTGTCTCTTTGTGTATGAATAAATTTATTAGCGTTCATGTACAAAAAATCACTATTACAATTACAAATCTGTGTCATAACTGAGAAATAGTCTTTCCTTTGTGATGATTATTAATAACTTTAATCTACATAACATAACTAAATAAGTTCTATTTCTACGTCATCAGTAAAGAAAATCGATTTCACTTTTTATTTCATTATCTATAAACAGACAGTACTGTTATATGATGTTCGAATAAAATTTATGTGACTTTATTTTTACTTAAGTTACAATTTCATAGTACACGATAATGAGAGAATATTTTTATTCACATAAAATTAAAATGTAAACATTACAAATTGTGAAGTCCAATCAAAACAGTTTATGCTTGATTGATTTCAACTTATCAGTTTACAACCATAACTAATTTACTAATCCTCTGGATTTGTCATCTCCTTTATCTTTCTATTTTCAAGTTTATGTCACTAGATTATACTTCTTAAATAATATCTTCAAATCCTAATCTCTCCGATTACTGTTAATACTTCCACTATCTCTACCACTATGGAATTTGAATTGACAATTGCGTCTCTGTGCTAATGTGGTATTGCAACTTGAAATGATGCATGTAAGTACGAAGTTCTACGTTGTAACTGACTGACTGACTGACTGACCGACAACCAGTTCACTGCCAGTAAAAGAGTTTTAATAGGCAAAAATGTTTGTTCCTTTTTGCTTGAGCACACATTTTCACATGCAAGTTAATCAATCACTAATTATCAAACATCTATATTCATATCGTGAAATTCCCGTTAACAGGAGTCAGTAATTCAAATCACCGGCGGATTAATATAGTCTTAACAGTTGAATGACGATAGCACACCAGTTGCTGCAACTTAGACAAAAAAGGGAATTTAATATGTTGTTATTAGGCTGGTTCTTTCGCTCAGTTGAATTCAGATAATTTAAAAAATCCACTCCGGTAGTATTTTTTTCCTATTTCCTATAAAAATATTTTACCGGTATTGAATAATTTCCTTTCAAATAAAGATGATAATCCTTTTTATTTTGTTTTACTTTCCATGTAAATCTTATTTTCAACTACACACACATGTTATGGGGTTATAATTCAATTTCAAATTATCATCATCATCATCATCTTCATTCATCAGTCTGTATTTACAGATTTAGAAATTTTCACAGTTCTATTCGCTTGTGCTATTCATGACGTCGGTCATCCAGGTGTTACAAATCAGTATTTAATCAATACAAGTGAGTTTTTGATGACTGTTGGATTGTATTGTTTAAATTAAGAGATGATTTTGGGTTAGACGGTTAGCGTTTTTTTGGCAAGTGAGATTTCGACGCAATGGGGTCGCCAACCCCATGTCCAACCCTCCTCCTTTATCCGGGCTTGGGACCGGCAGTAGCCCCTAAGGTTCTACTGGCGGAGTTAGACAATTACTGTAATTCAGGAACATTGAACAACTGTTATAGTCTAGAACGAGACTCTTCGACAGTGCACATTCATCACCTCATAAGCGATTCAATGACGATGTCTTCGGGTATGATAGCTAGCACTTATCCTTAAGATCACTGAGCTCTCAACCAGTGGTGTACATGTCTAATTTTTGAATTGTGATTTTTGTAGTTCTCCAAGTTTCGCCTACATAAAATATGTCTGTGTTGGCATTTGATTGGAAAATGTTGACTTTGATGTTCACAGACAGTTATTTTGAGTCTTAGATGTTGTTCCGTTGTAGAAATGTTGTTCCTGTAGCTCCAATTCATGCCTTCACAGCTGTGTCAGTCCTACCATGTTTATAAATAGTGCTATCCAGGTATGTAGACGTTCCCACATCCTCCAGTGCTTCACCGTCGAGTGATTATTGATTGGTACATACCGTGTTGTATCGGAGGATCTTGCCTTTTCCCTTTGTGTATGTTGGAACCTATAACGTCAGAAGCTGCTGCTACCCTGACCGTCTTCTCCTGCGTTTTTTACTTTGTGTGCCATGGAAGAGCTCAGTCATCTGCCGAGTCCAAATCATTTAAATGAATCCTAGCTGTCAACTGTGTTTCGCGTCTCCCCTGAAATGTTGACGTCTTCATAATCGAGTTGACCACCAGGAGAAGGAGAAAGGGTGAGAGTAAACATCCTTGTCTGAAACTGGTCTTCACTTGGGATGAATCTGTGAGCTATTCTCCATGAACGATTTCGCAGTGTAGTCATCCATAAGAACTCCGTATGATGGCGAATATCTACTCAAGTACTCAATTGTGTTGAAAAAAGTTACATGAAGTTTTCTTGTGCACGCTGTCTACTACTTTCTCGTAATCAAGGAAGCTGATGTAAAGTCGTGAGTTCCATACAACGGGTTCTTCGAAAATGAACCGTAGTATCGCGGTTCGGTCGGCACACAATCAATCCATACCGAATCCAGCCTGCTGATCTCGAATTTGGACGTCTACTGAATTTTTCGTTCGGTTTAAGGATGCTTGGTTGAAGATCGTTCCCTTTTCTAATGATAGAGTACAGCCTCTGTAGTTCTCACATTTGCTGAGTTCTCTTTTCTTGGTAGTCTTAGTTAGGTAGCTTTAAGGCTTTGCCATAGGATCTGTAAGTCCTTAGTCAAATTACCGAGTTGGTTGTCTACATAAATTACTAACAAGTCTGATACTAGAATGAAACAGCTGTCTACTGCTGTATTGTTTTCAGTCGTACTAAGACTAATATTAATCTGTGAGAAATACAACGTACAGGTTAAATCAAGCTCTACAAAATAGTTTCGACTGAAGAGATTAAAAAAAATCAGTAACCATTATATTGCTTTTCTCTTCAATGATTTTAAATTCACAAATAATTTACTTTCTCCACTTCAGTTCATTTTATATATAGGTTAGCATAGTTAGAGAGTGAGTGAAAAAACCGTATCAAAACGAAATGATCATGAGGAATTCTTTTTTATCGTAATACACAGGTCGATTATTATTATTATTATTATTATTATTGTTTCTTTAAAACTCTTCTGTTTTTTGAATGAATAACTCTTTTGTTTGAATTTCAAAGTTTCAAATAAAAATAAACTCATACGAATTAATCCATCTTTGAAATGTATATAGATTTTCTCTTACTGATTAAAGAAAGATATGACTTTCATACCCTCACATTTTATAATTGAAAAATGAATAGACTATATTATATTATTTATATACTGAAAGATCAATCACTAATTACTTTAATCATAAAAGTTCATTTTTATTCAGAAAAAAAATGATTGTCTCAACAAATTGGCACATATTATATAAGAATACAGATAATACTGACTATTAGTTTTTTTTTCCTTGTCTAGTAGTAGTAGAGTGGTGCGATCTACTTATAAGTAGTATATGACGTGAGTGTAAACGTAATGTCTGGCAGCAGAAGATGAGGGAAGATCAAGAAAGGAAGAGTTAGAACACACTGGAATTTGTATAAAACGCATAAATAGTGACAATGGATTGATGTTTTGCAACAGGAACAGTCCAGTTCGATATGATGGACTGATATTTTGCAAATTAACGATTTACGATATGGTTTTCCGATTTTACTGAGTAACTCTGTAATTTTCGTTAAATACAATTCGGTTGCCCCACCTGTGTTCTCCTTCACTACAGTAGTAGTAGTAGTGGTAGTGCGAGTAGTAGTAGTAGTAGTAGCAACACATAAAACAACAGTTAAATATTAAAATTCCATGATGTCTAATATCAGCGACAAGAAAATAGATAGATATTACTATTATTATTATTGTTATTATTATTATTATTATTATAGTAAATCTGTGTGTGTGTAAGAACATTTTAGAGGTAGCCAATAAAAAACACCCTGTATTGATGTTTTTGTTGATTTGATGCGCTCTTTGTCAGTTGTCGTTGTTTCAAAACACTTTTATAGAATCAGTAGGGAGTCTGTGCTTTCTGCGGAAATAAAAATTCAAATATGAATAGTAATATTAAGAATGATTTAATAGATCGTCAATGAAAATCAATAAGTTCAACTCTTACCAACCAAAGAAACTTAGTCAAATCAGGGTGATATTTACTGATTACAGTTGTTTAGATAAAAAAAAACTTGTATGGTGGTGTGGCAAGCAACTCATGAAACTTCAATTAGACAAATATTTACAAATGAACGATAGAGTTTCATGTGTACTAACGGAATAGACAGATATGATGACATTAGTCCCTACTCAATGATCAGTCAGTCATAAGTCGGTCGGTGTATTATTTATGTCTCTCTCTCTCTCTCAGTTCTTATGACATGACAAAACCGTAAAAAATAAAAACCAATCAGGCATTATCTATTTAGTAATATGTAAATTTTGACTAATTTACAAATTATTATTTGATGCTTTTTTTCGTACTGTTTTTCTTATTCTCTTTCAATAGATGATAAATTAGCAATTTTATACAATGATTCATCTGTATTGGAAAATCATCATTTAGCTATAGCATTTTCGTTATTGGGTAATCCAGGTCATGATGTTTTTGAGAATTTTCCACGTAAACAACGACTTAGTTCTAGGCGCATGATTATTGATATGGTAAGTTTAAAGCAAATTATTATTATTGTGATGCTAAAATAACATACCTTACTAGTGAATGTATACTAATAACTCAATAACCTATTACACACACATTGAATTTGAATAATCTCGTTTTTCATATTCAGGAGTGAATTTCCTATTGATCTTGGTTCAAGTTATCAATGGTGGATTTTTGCGAGGATTGCTGTAATATACAGGCATTTTTACTATATTATTGAAAGTAGGGTGGATTACGGCCAGTAGTGGAATTCAATTAGTGTCATTTCATCCCATTTCGGACTTGGACTCAATACCTTTCGCTCTAGATACTAATGCCACAATCCACTGAGTTAATAAGGCCAGATAACGTGTTCAGTTTATATGATATGTATATTGCTAATATTCCCAAATAGGATGAAACTATCATCATGGATTTCAGTGTTATGTACAATCTATCTATTCCTCAATCGAAATTATGATCCATTCAATCCCCTTATATAGGGAAGCTTGACTTATTAAATCATACAAAGAACGTTGTTGAATAAGTTATAAAAATGGTGTGTAGTTTCAACATGTCATAGAGGTGTAATTGGTAAGAAATACGATTAAGTATAATTGCTTGGTAGCTAATCATCGAATCTAGGATGTGTGGGGCTAAAGTGCCTTGTTTAAAATTCAATGAAAACATCTTCCCAACAAACTAAATAATTTTGTTTTAGAGTATATTTTATTTCACTTGTCTTCTTGTTCAGAAGCATTTTGCAATGGATAAATACAGTGAATAAATTCGTCGATGACTGAATCGATAAGTATAATTGATTTGAGTTCAAGTGTGAAGGTGTCAACATACTGAAATGTAGATTCATTTGACTGATGAGTCCTAAATAGAACGAAATGCGTTTCCCGGTTGTGCACCTTCAATCATTAATTCAAATATACTAAAATCAGTTTATAAACTATCATTACTTTCAAACAAGGTGGAAGAAACAGCTTTTTGGTTTAACTTTGGGAAGAAATTTGTTTTATGCTCACACACGTGATAAGACACAATATAATCTAACATATTAGCATTAGACTGGATAACAGACTGAACACACTGTATCAGGATACTAGACCATTAAATTTAATAACATAATGCACAATTCCCAATCAACAATTAAGAACCAGATGACATGTACCAAGGTGAATGTTTATCGACAGAAAATGAAATCCTGAGTACGGCACAGTGTAACCAATAGTAGGAAGAAAATAACGACTTTATATGGCTATCTTCGCTTATTGATCAAACGTTACTCACTGTCTTGCGACATATCATTTTCTTCTGATTGCACGATCGAGTTATATAATTTAATGATTTTGATTATTAATATAGTTTTATCAAAATCTAACTTTGATGGCAATCAACCGTTTTACTGACCGGAAACATTGGACATACACTAGGTTGGCTATCTATACTAATAAGCCATAAAGGCTAAAAAAAAAAGAAATTGGTTTCCGAAAACTCGAATGTTATTGATTTCTTCCTATTTGGCTAACCCAGTTATTGAGAAAGCAGTTTCTTCGTCCAATGTCCATTTAGAGCTTATACAAAATTGACAGGTAGTCGAATCTCAAGATCTTCATATTTTAAGTACTGAATGCTTAACCATTAGATCGATTAGTTGGAGCCTATTTACTTTTTCAAATCTAGTCAACTAGTAATATATAGCACAGTCTTTTATCAAGTATCTTTCAGATGACAACTGATTCACTCAAGATCTAACTGAACTCCACTGGTTACACAATTTCTTGCCAGAATTGCTGTAGGTAATTATAGATGAACACACGATAATAGTTTTGTACGAAGAATTTCGTGGATATTGAGCCTTAGATGTATTGATTTTTAAAATCATTATTGTACAAAATAATGTCTTAACATGAGACTTTAAGAACGTAATGTTTTTTAAAAAAATTAGGTTTTAGCTACAGATATGTCCAAACATATGAGTTTACTTGCCGATTTGAAAACAATGGTTGAAACGAAAAAAGTTGCTGGATCCGGTATACTTACATTAGAAAATTATATTGACAGAATACAGGTAAATTATGTTGTGAAAGTTTTTTTTTATGATGCTTTAAAGAAAAATATTTATGATGAAATAAATTTAAAGCTATGGATATTTTTCATTTGTGAATAATGATTTTAACCTAAAACTACGTTTGCGTTTAATCTGAACACTGGGATTCATCTAAAATTCAAATCCGTCAGTGTTGATTGTTGGGAGTAGTTCACAAGAAACTCGGTATTTACGTTTCATGTTCATTCGGCACTAATTAGCAAGATACACCTGGCTTTTCCTGTAGGATCCGAAGCTGATTCATTCAGGTTTAGTTTGAAACGTTAACATTCCGCAATTCTGTTTGCAACTTGATCAATAGAATCTGATCAATTCCAAAAGACTAAACAAACGATATCATTAACTAGTCAGTTAGCTTGGATTATCAGTTTCTTAGAGATTGTAGATGCATATGTTACTGATATACATGAATTGCATAATACAGATGACTGGTATTAATTTCCTCTTTTACATTCCAGCCGATTTCTCAGACTTATTATGGCAATTTGATTAGAAATAATAGTTGTAAATTAGGTAAACTGAGTTTTTTATTTGCATTGATATCAATTTTTTAAAACTATATTTAGATAATGAGGCTAAATACTACCATTTAAATGATAATGCTCCAAACAGTTTTCCTTTCGATTGACTACACTAATAAAAACTGAAGCTGAACGGGGAAGCAGTTCCAATCCAGAAATGTAACAACTTTGATCACGTTAAGTAATTTAACAGAATTGACAGGATAACCATTTGAAATCTCGATAAATAACAAAAACTAGATATTTGATCATTTAAGTAAAATAAGATCTACTAACCATTCATAATCAGCGTAGAATCTAGAATAAATGGACATTTATGCAAACAACTACATCACACCAATACATTAGGGTGAAACTATTAAGATGAATAGTTAAGTTGTAGACGTAGTTGCGATACTAGCAGTAATCCTTAAAAGCCTATTAGATACAGATGATATGACTGGAGAAGAAAGAATAGGTTCTCAGGTTAACATAGTATTAGAATTCAAGATCTAGGGCAAAATGAGAAGTAAACAAATGTACTCCATTGTGATTGGAGCTAGTTATATCAACCAAAGTCTCCGGACGTTGATTCCACTAGCGATAATCTCATGGATTACAGCCACGTGGTTTGAATCTATCAATAGCCCTTAGGCCAATAGTTAGATTCATACATTAATAGAATTTAGTACCTAATTGGTAAGCTGAGCAAGTTTAGATATACGATTTGCCTTAGCAAGAATCAGACAGCTCACATATCATTTCAAGGTCAAGCAACAATCATAAAGGAGACAACCTATCATAAAAGTATGCGTCTATTTAAAAGCTGTGCTCGCATATCTTTGTCTGCATCAAAAAGAAAAGTGTATCAATACTACTTACTGTATATATTGATTTGCTTTTGTCAGTTACATTCTCACTAGCATAATTAGTCGAGCAGATGCATTGTAAGCGTGTTTACCCGAATTCGATGTTACGAATCATAATACTAATCTTATCCAAAAGGTAATTAGTAAGACAAAAGTAGAAAACTCATCTATATCAGAACTATCAGCACAATTTTTTATTTAAAAATCTGACTAAACATATAAATATTAGTGAAACGTTGTAAAAGGATAAGGTTTAACCTGCCTGATTATATTGATGAACTGTTTAGAGATTTTACACTTGAAATCGAATTAATTGTATCATTACATTAAGATGACACAAATCAAATTGCAACTAATTAACAAAATTGCTTTAATTAATTTGTCAAATTACTTCTGAATCTAATGATAACTTTTAGAAATCAAATCTCGTAAGAACATAGCATAAAGGGCAAGTTTTATGGTTTAAATCACGAACTAGTCTTAGTTAAACAATCAGTGTAAACAAAACAGCAATTGGCATATGTGCCGTCGTAGAACGGGACTCTTCAGGAGTATAAACCCACGATCCAGCCTGATATTCGTTGAAAGGCTGATATAAGAAGGCAAGGAGATCTAAGTGTGGCATCAACTAGGTAATGAGGGCTACCAAGTTACAGTCTTCATCATTATTGTAACTAGTGGTTCAATATGTTGGGTGATATGGATCCGACTAGGTTGTAATGGTTCAGATTCTACGTTTTTAGAATACTCTCATACTCCAATATTAGACGAATTCATACTTCTATCTCCAATAATACTGTCTATGGCTAACTTTTCCAACTACTCTAACACATATCTTAGTAAGTTTATTACACTGTACTGATATGACGAACGTGTTTTAGATTCTGTATTATAACAGACCGACTTATTAAATCGATTATGATTAAACAAAACCCATAAAACTCATCTTATTATTTAATCCAATTCATTAATTTTTACTCTTGTCCATTAGATTTTACAAAATATGGTACATTGCGCTGATTTAAGTAATCCAGCTAAACCACTAGATTTATATAGACAATGGACTAATCGTGTTATGGAAGAACTTTTTCAACAAGGCGATAAAGAACGTGAATTAGGCATTGAAATCAGTCCAATATGTGATCGAAATACAGCAACTATCGAGAAATCACAGGTAATATATATATACATATAATAATCAGTCCCTTTGATGAATTTTGATAATGCCATGCAAAGACGAATGTTATCAACAGATGATAGTGCTTTTGTTAGTTTAATTCCATAATACTGTTGAACTGTTCAAACTTTAACAAGCAAAACATAATTCAAACCGACTACTTATTAGATCACAATCTTACCAGTTCTTTGAGCAGGAAAAAATTAAACAAAATCTTTTATAACCTATAGTTGATAATATCGACCTATCGTTTCACTTTTAAATGGCAATTGGTAAATTCATTTCAAAAATTAATGAATAGTGAGTACCAATATGTATAATTTAGTGGGAACAAGTCAATGCTAGTTTAAAACAGTAATATGATATTTAATTGAGTCATATGCAAAGCCTATATTCATGGCTGGTGTCATATCTGGTTAAAAATGAATAATGCATGATTCATCGCATCTTCTATTTAACCGATAGAATAATAAATCACATAGATCTGATCTTGTTTGGATTAGAAAGATTAACGTGTTATTTAGTAGAAAATCGATGTCATTTAAGTGTTTCCATAAATGAGTAATGAAAGGACGAACTTAGTGTAAATTTAGGCTTATTATTACCCATTTTGAATTCCAATTTAAGTGTAAACATTTGGACATTGGAGCACATGGAGCAACTGATGCGCTTCAAACAGGTAATGTCAAGTGTTTTTAGATCTACGAGGTCGGCTGTCACTTTCCGGTTCTCCGCACTATGAAGAATACTCCTTTCTGAGGAACCAGAATATGAGAATTCTTCGCGTTAGTAACCCCATATCATTGGTGACGGAAAACGGTGGAGCAAGATGAGATATGTGACTTTTGGGACCGGCTTTTTCTAACCCCATCCTTTCAGAGTTAGAAGGCGAAATCACCTCAAAACCGGTTGTGTAAGAAAACACTTTAACGTCATCATTCGCCTGTACAGATATCAAAACAACCTCACTGTCCGATTTTAGGTTGCTGCCTTAAGTTTCGTTGATCTTTGACCGACCAACCTAATACGGTGGAACATGACGGGACAGGTACACTGAGAAACATTACTCGATTCGGTTATCACAACAAGACCGACCGATATGGTAGCAGCTACAATCAGGGTTCTTTCTATATGAGACAAAATGCTTATCGTGGATTCCAACAATTAATCTCTATCCAAAATTAAAATACGGAACTAAGTCTTGTCTTAACTTCTGGTAAACGAACATCACTCTCTCTCTACATCTTAATAATATTTTCGATTTGTACTTGTTTTTTATTTTGGCTACTGCTTCCCGTTGCCGTAAAAACGTTGCTGCTTTACCAATAAATCTATTGTGTATGCTGTATACACACATATACGAATAGGTAAGCTTTATTGATTATATTGTTCATCCATTATGGGAAACATGGTCGGATTTAGTTTATCCAGATGCACAAACTATCTTAGAAACACTGGAGGACAATCGTGAATGGTACTATAGTCAAATTAATGAAGACAATAATAATAATAACAATACAGAAAATGATGAGAGTATTGATCAAAACCAGTAGAAAATATATGATGTGTATGCATATTTATTTTGAATTTCACATTGTTGAATTTGATTTATGTCTAAGTAATGAAGTGATCATATACAAATAGCATTTATTGAATTCGCCCACACAATTTTTTCCATATTAACTGGCGATTAAATGAGTTTTTACTTCTCTTCTTCATGTTAAATAAAATGATTTTATTAAATAAAAATGTATAGTTACCATTTTATGCAAATCTATGTGTACAATACTGAGATTGATGTACATTGAAATGTCATATAATCCTTAATCGCACATTTAGTATTTATTCAAAACATTTTACAATTGGATTTCGTCTATTGCACTAGATAGATATTTATGAACAAACAACTGAACATATTATATATCTATCATGTATTTTTCTTACTCAATTCCTCAAAATAACAGCGTCATTTTAAAGCATGATAGACTGTCGACAATTACATTTATTTAATTCCGTTTCTGTTAGACACATCTCTGAAGGGGAAAAGTTTCTCACATCTTCTACTGTATTTATTGTACACGTTGTTCAATTTCTTACTCCCTACTACAATCTCTCTCTCTGTCTTTACCTTGAGTTGAAAGATTTATACTGCATATAACGACGTCTAAAAGTGACAGCGACCAGACGTAAATTTAAAAAAAAAAGGGGGGGGAAATATATTCAGAAAAACCTACTATCTTTCATCACTGGATTAAACTGTTTTATATACAAGAAAACTGTAAAGCAAAAATACAATAGCTGAGGCTTGTAAGTTTTCGATAGTCATCCTCATATCCTTTACAATATAATAATGATGTTGCTTGTTTTATCACTTTTATTTTTCATACAAATATTTTAATATGAATAGCAATAGCGATAATAATAATAATCATCATAAAAAGGATAGGATAAAAAAAAAGGATTTTTATTTTGTCATTCACTTCATCATATAATTGTTGTGAGCCTATTTCAATTGTTGGTTTCTGTACTCAGGAGCTCCCTTCAACCTTACAAATACAACATCTAAACATTAATTTTAATTGTATATCATAGGGATTTTCATTTTCTTTTATTTTTAAAGAAAAAACAATAACTATGTACATGTACTTGTGTATGTATTGTGATTGCATACTGCTTAAAAATCGACAACCAATCACAATTTCATATACATACAATTCTCATCAGTATTCTAGTCTTTGACACACACTACACAAGCATATTTCTCGATCAAAAAATGATCAAATGTGATAAGCAATTGTCTTGATTTATTATTATTATCATTAAATGTTCATAATATTATTTATCAAATATAAGTGTGAAACCAGTAAAAGGTATGTAAAATTATTTTTGAACGGATCAAGTGATGCATATTTTGTTTGAAATGTATTTACATCTTACTGTTTTCCTATTAATTAATTACTGTTATTCATAATTTTATTGACTTTTCCAAAATTTTTAAATATTTTTTTTCGCCCTGACTTTTCTTCACCATTGCGTATACATTGACACACTATGTGTGATAATACCAAGGTATAGAGAAGATAAATGTCAAAGAGATTCAGTGAAAATTGACAAAGACAAAAATGGAATGAGAGTAAATAAAAAACTCTTTGACATTTATTCCTTTTTTTTTGTTGTTTTTACGTTTTACTTTGCTCCCTCCCCCTGTGCCCGCCTCTTGTCACAGTGAAAACGAAATGTGTACAAAACATGTGCATGACATTAAATTTACTTTCCTAGAAAAACAAAATCAGCATAACCGTCAGTAAAAAAAAGTCAAATAAAATAAAGCGAAACTATCAGAAGAAATCTAATTCACCAGGCAACGGCATTAAACCATCATGGCATAAACTGTATAGTCGAGTTTCAATATCGCCTAAAAGTGAACTAGCTCCAAATCGTAAATAATCTGGACTTATCCAATCAGGGCCAAGAACGTTACCAATTAATTGGAGATAATCGATAGCATCTTTAGCTGTACGAATACCGCCCGCAGGTTTGAAGCCAACCTAAGTGGTTTGTTTTCAGTAAGAAAAAAACGTAAGAAAATAAAACTTTAAATTGTTAACTTTAAGCATTTAAACTGAAAAATAGTATTCATAATAAACTGGCGTTACTTGGGTTAATATAAAAAAAAACTAAAGAGCATTTGACAGATGTTTTGCCCCAGTACTTATATGCGCCTGGTTAGCCCTTGTAGAACATGGATCGCCGAGGAGTCCCCAACCAACTCTGTCCCAAGCTCTCCTTTCCAGTTGTTTAACATAGCTATTTGTTCTTATGATATCGGTCTACAGTTCCTAGCACAATGTGTTTCTTCGTCTTTCTCTCTGCCTTTGGCCTTAAGGATTCCAAGCTACGGTCCCTTCGTAATGCAATTCAGTGATTTCCGCAATCTGTTCATTTACTTATAGCATCGCTTCTTAATTTCTTCCTCAGCTAGGAGCTTATCTGTCCTCTGATACAGCAAATTGTTGCTTGTTCGGGGCGGATCTGCAGTATCTTGCGTAGACAGTTTTTTATAAATAGAAGTGGAACTTCCTACGTACGTACATGTTCTCGGCTACCCACAACGTGGGTGACTGTTGAAGAACCCGAAAGGGAAGTTGGATTAGCGTTGGTCTCAAAGACCTTACCGTTCTCCAATCGACCTCCCTGGCATGCTACGACCTAAAAGAACGTATGTTCCGGCCCATAAAGCTCCGTCGATTCATCACGATAATCAAAGCCGACCACCACGTCAAAGGAGCAGCTACGGTCAGAACACCAGGTATTCATACTTCTTCTTCAGGTCTTGCAACATAGACACACATTTCGGCGTCCCACTACAGTTTACCCCTTGACCTTAAGGCGGCATTTGACTCTGTCGGTCGCGAGGTTCTGTGGCAGTGTCTGTCATTAAAAGGTGTATCGAAGACGTACATTAACCTTACACAAGTTCTCTACTCGGACACTACTGGCCGAGTCAGAGTTTATGCCGAAGTGTCATTGGAACAGATTAGTTCAAGTAGTGTTCGTCAATGTTGCCCACTTTCTCTATTCTTATTCAACTTTGTTATCGGCATGCTTTTAGAGTTGACACTTTCATCGTCTGACTTTTCAGGGTTTGGACTTTTACCAGGACTTTCGTTTGTCGACTTAGAATATGCCGATGACGTAGTCTAACTTGGTGAAGACTGACAAAATACAAAGCCTTCTGACTACATTAAGCGATAATGTAGGTGTTAGAGGGAAATGGATTGGATTAAAGCATGTTTGATACACAATTGCGTTGTTGCTTGCTGATTGGCTTTTGCGTATCCAATCAGCGCTAGTCGATACTGCGGGGACATTCTAGAATCTCATCATGTAAAGACTATAAGTACACTAACGTTTTGACTTCCATCTAACCTTGTAATTAGAATATAATCTTTTTCCCTGTTCGCCCGTGTTCTGATCTGGGGGAACAGTTTTGAGTGAATCGGTGTCCGAGACTACTAAGCATTAAAAATAGCTAGGTTGTAATAAGAGAATTATAACAGAAAGAATGTCCGGAATGCGGTTCTCTTTCCCCAAATGCAAAATGTTGCTTCAGGATCGGCTTGCATCGGAACTTAAACTAATGATGGGCAGTGATGCAGTTGGGCGTATTGACCGCTACACTTATCTCAAAAGCCTCACCAGTGCTGATGGCCTGGTGACTAATGAAGTCTCAACACGGATACAGAAGGCTCGATTAGCTTTCGCTAACTTGCGTTACTTATGGCGTGGGAGAGCTATCTATCTGTTAACCAAAGGACGAGTCTACTGCGCTGTTGTTAGGAAATGGGTACTAGGTAAGGATGGGAGATCAATAGATGAAGTATTGAAACTTCATCAGTTGAGGTGGTTGGGACATGTGTTACGTATGCCCAACCACCGACTGCCCGAATGGGCTATGTTGTCTGAGATAGGAGTAGACTGGAAGAAAGCCAGAGGAGGCCAAAACATAGCACAGATTCATGAAGTCACTGACACCTGGAATGAGGTATGGTAGTAGGTGCAGACGACTTGGTTAGGGTTCGTGAGACAGTGGTCACTGGTGGTTAGAGACTTTTAATCGAATAGCTGTAAACCGTTTGCAGTGGCGCAGGTGCATCGATTGTTTGTCTTTGCTCAAATTCTAAACTTCTGAATTCTTCACGACCTTTCTTTTAAGCTTATTTCACTGGGATATACTTCTCGAATCATATCTTCGATCCCTAATCTTTTTGATGACCGCTATTGCTGACACAAACTCTACCACTATAGGATTTGAATTGAAAATTCCATCTGTCTGTGCAAATGTGGTATGGTACGTTGTAGCTGACTGAATGACAGCTAAGCTGCTGTCACAGAAGCACTGCTAATAAGGTTAAGATACATGTAGCTGCTACTGGATACCCTGTAACCTTCTAATAGGTTGTACAACGACCGTAAATATAATTTCAAGTCCGATGCTTAGTACCCAATTTATGCGGAAAAATTCACTCACAAACTACAAACTGAATTAAACGAAGCGAAATTCTCAAAAATCCTAAATATCCCTATAAGACAAATCTTTAATTTACCTTAATGTCGTATACTTCCTTGAAATCTTGAATAGCTCTAGCCATAACCAACGAAACTGGAAGTGTGGCATTGACTGTTTCTTTGCCAGTAGAAGTTTTAATAAAATCCGCTCCGGCTAACATACAAACCATTGAAGCTTTATAAACATTATCATAACTGCATAATTCTCCAGTTGCAAGAATAGTTTTTAAGTGTGCTTGATCGCCACAAGCTTTACGCATTGCACATACTTCATTATAAACTCCTATAATATGAAAAAGATTTCACTGATTTTTTCATAATAAATACAGTTAGAAAATTGTAGTAGCTAATAAGGAATGCAGTTTTGTTTTTAACTTAGTTCATTGCATTGCATTGTGGGTTGGAGTGAACCGAATTCACCACTACTGCTTGATATACACACATACTGTATCCACCACCACCTGGTGTCTTTCCTGCTCACTTAGTCTACCTACTTGAGCATTAAAGTCACCAGCCATTATTACTATATCAGAGTGACTAGCGTTTCGGAGGAGGTCCGAAAGCTTTCTGCAAAACTCATCTTTAACCTCGTCTGAACAGCAGTCAGTGGGAGCGTAGACAGATACGACGAAGAGTCGTACTGTCCTGTTCAGTTCGACAGCGCACAAGCGACTATCTACTGGAATCCATTCTGGGAGAGATTGTTCTGCCCTAGGACTCAATTCTATACCCACGCCAGCTAGATCCCGGGAGGCAGCATCAGGGCTACCAGATGCACGAAAAGTAAATCGAGCTGCTTCTTTATAAGGACAAGGTGAAATCAAATTAATGATTTTACTAGGATCTTGTATGCGCGTTTCCGAGGCGCAGCACACATCGATGGCACGAGATTCTAAAGTCCTAGCTAAGGAAGCCTGTTGCCCTGTTTGACACAATGTCCGTAGATCAAAAGCTCCAACATGTAGTCTAGAACGGGGTTTCAGGAGACCGGGAATAACGTTTCGTGAACTCGCATCTTTTGCATTAGCGGTGCAGTGAGATAAGGGAATGTGAGTAGAGTTAGTCGTGGAGATAAGAGAGATATTAGGGGGTGTAGGGAGGACTTGATTTTTACCGATTTGGTCTCGTATGCTGTTACGGGAATGAGTGCCGATATCACTTCACGGCTGCCCACACCGTGGGAGGGTGTTTCTTGAGGAACCTGAAAAGGAAGTTAGATTAGTGTTGGTCTTAGAGATCTGGGAGTGTGACTGCAGAGCCCAAGGGACAACTGCTTGAGGCCGTTCACACAAGGCCTTTTTATGAAAGGTTATTTTAGTATTCGCTTCGCTCATTTTAAAGCCGTTAGTGGGCAGCCCTTACCTCCGGAGACGGAAATCCGTGAGGTAGGGTGAGGTGCGATATTTTTAGGGTCGACCTTCTCTAACCCTTCCTTCCTTTTGAGAAGGCAGCATCGCTACAGATGCTGGTTATCCGAGGGAAACACGTTAGTGTCGTCACACCTCTCTGCAGTCAGCAGTATGACTTCGCCCTCAGACCTTGGGTAGGTGCTTTTAGTCTCATCGTTTTCCAATCGACCTGCCTGGCATGGTAGAACCTTCAGGAACATATGTTCCAGCAAGTATAGTTCGGTTGGGTCATCACGATAGGCAAGCCCAACCACCACGTCAAGGTAGCAGCTACGGTCGGGAGGTGGTGGAGAAAGTGTGTAGCTCAGGTAGATGAATAAGGTAGAGTTTCGTCCTATGAGCTTGATGTTCCGGTTGTGGAGCTTTCATTGTTCTTCATAACAACATCATTAGCGCGAACATCAAGCTCAGAGAACGGAACTCCACCACAATCAGGAATCACTTGACAACTGTCTCGTCCCAGTTCGTCAAAATACATGCGAGGTCAACCACAAAACGTCCGCTTTAACACAGACGAACAGTTCCAATGTTCTTAACTTGGTTGAAGGATTCATTTGTGATACGAAAGATGGGTGAAGTAGTGCTCGCAAAAAGCTGTAAAGAGCGAAATATTTATTTACAGTCGCAGTATATTTAAGGACTGAAATACTGTTCTGTGATCTAAACCGAAATTCCCATATCGACTTCATTTATGTTTATTGATACATTTTGTAACCCTATTCTGCCTGTTATGCTGATCTTGGTTGCATTTTGAACATTTATCTTAACTTCACAAACTAAAGTAGGCTAAGCATTTCTTAATAACTATATTAACGATTATAATTTTAGGTTCTATGCAACTGATGAGAAACTATGAAATAGAATGAATTCATTCTATTCTGAGAACCTTGTTGTTCCTGCTCTGTTTGAACTTCATAGGAACTTTGATTTGACGGTTTAATTGACAATACAGTGAAGCGAAGTCAAGTTTCATTATCACAATAACCAGTGATAGATACAAGTCTGAATTTCACACTTCGAAACCCATGAACCAACATACACGACATCTGTGAAGTTCTTAAATTGCCCTATCTAAACACCAAAAATAAACACCCACCATAACCTTTTACCTAAGCCAGAAATCTTTATATTCAATGCTACATATAGATTCACATGCGACCATTAAGAAAATCAGAATGAATCATACAGACACAACTAAATAAAAGCATGGGATAGTAAAGGGGGTTCGTACACCAATACATACCTTCCCAATCACCTTGTAAAGCCAATGATCTATTTATTACGACATCAATCTCATTGGCTCCATCATTAATAGCTGATTTAATTTCCAATAGACGAGTCTCGAGAGGATACTGTCCAGAAGGAAAACCAGTAGCAACTATGTTTATCATGGTTAAATATCAGTTAAAGATAATTAACCAATGGAAATTTACCAGAAGCAACATTAAAATCTGTTAAATTCAATTTCTTAAAAGTTTCGGTACATGTTTTAACTTGATATGGATAGACACACACAGCAGCTGTTCCTATGTAGGAGAGAGATTTTAAAATAAAATGCCAATTGTTACTTAAATCTTGCAGGTTAACATGGAATGTGCTTTCAAGCTTATTTAAAACGCATTTACTTAATGGATTAACTGCTTTTACACAAAGTCTTTGAACATTGACAGCTGTATCATCTCCAGCCAATGTGGTTAGATCGATTAGGTGAATTGCTTTTAAAAGCAATTCAACCTGAAAACAAAAGATAAAATAACATTAAGATATCTAGCACAATATTTACTACTTACTTCAATATCTGGTGATAGTTTTATGTTTGTAAGTTCTTTAGCTAGTTGTATCGTATTAGAAGCTTCGATACGATCATAGGTAAGCATAGAAGCATCTTGAAAGTTATTTTAAAATTTTTAAAGCTTATTACCATATGCCCGAATGTTGCAAACCATTGTTTACTCTGAATAAAATAAACAACCCAATAATGAATAGCCTTTAAAAACGGGAATGATGTGCATACTTTAAGTAATACTAAATATAATAAGATATGTTTTCTAAATTGCGATAATTTTCTCGCTCCTTTATTTACAATTATTATCAACCATATCTGAACTCTTATTTAATCGACTTATCATTAATTTCATATAAAATGCCTCCACGAGTATACATGTGACCAAATTGTTCGAAGTGTATGGCGCAAATACATCACATTTTTCAGATCAGTTACGTATTCTCAGTGTTCTATCAAAATTTAGAAGAGGGACTATCTGTTATAAATACAATAAGATCTACAATATCAAACGCAAAACTTTAATCAACGTAACAGATAACTTTAAATCTCAAATGTGAGAGTAAATGCGTTTCGACCTACAGGAAAACCAAAGGCACCAAATTCGTCATAGATGTGACTTTTGGCTATAGAAGACTTTATTACACCATTAATAACATAGGTGAGCGGCAGTTTTTGTTACTTGTTAAATGCAGTGAACACAGGAAATTGACGCAGTAGGAAGACTTCCGTGGTGTCTTTTTGAGGAATTTCAAGTTATATTCGTAACTTGTCACTTGTTGCCATTTTCGACACACTATATTTCTTCCAAGTGTAGTTCTGTTTTTTTTAATTGCGTGTCATTACTAACTCTTAGGCATTAATAAACCGTTACTACGTCCAGGCCATTAGAGATCCTGTGAGCCGTATTTCTGTTAAGAACAAGTCTTCGAGTTTAGGATATTATCCTTATTTATTGTTATTTATTATCCTTATGGCAAGTTACTTTTGCATACTTTACTGTGGGTATGTTGGAACCTAATTACATTATTCAAAACTGTAGATACGTCAGGTCTAACATATCAGCGGAGCTCAGAGCATTACAATTTACGCTTTATTTAGTAAAATTAACCCTAAAATATAGTTCGAACACGTTAGATAATCTCACTGGTCAGAATGTCTGTTTACAGGCTTCGAAGTAATCTGAGTTGGGAATATCATCTACTGGGGTAGGCACGACAATCTTATATCTCACAAACGTTCCATTGTCTAAAGCATATGATGAGTTAAAGCAGGTGATCATTCAGCGCGCCGTTTCGGGTCCCGAAATTGGGACGGCAGGAACCAGATTTGTAAAATATCCACACTTGAGGAACACAAGTGTTGGTACTACGAAATGTACGTAAGAATCAGTGTGTTACTGATAAAATTTCAAATCCTCCTGCATGTCGAGCATCGGCAACCGTCGCTGTGATGTCTGTTACTGGCCGGTTATTTAGTCAGCTTTTCTGTGCTGGCTGAGAATAGGTTCGCACGTGTTGATTGAGACAAGTGCGAATATCAGTATAACTCTAGTCACACTAGTCCAGCAACTTGTGAGACGGAAAAGCATCCAATTAGTGTAGCAAATAAAGCAACGATAGAAGCCTTTACAGAACGGTTACATAACTTAGAACTCAGGATCAGACATCGGTTTAGTTCAGTGTTCATTATAGTTGGTGCTCTCAACACCCAATAATTTTGTAACGAGCTCGTATAAACCAACTGACTCCGCGCTCCCTTTTGGTCTTGGTTGGGCTTCAGGTATTTGGTAATCTCCAATGGGTGGTAGTCTACTTCGGGCACAGATTTTCTGACCATTTTTGCCAGTTGCTGTCAACAAAGGAGAGCTTTTCGAATACGGCATTCAGCTAAAAACTTGAGGGATCTTCTGAAATACTACGTGCTGAGCACCGAGACAAATGTCCTCATAAATGACAATTTCAATGACATCATCAACCAGTGAAGGGAGATTATGCAGCCAATTTAGCTACAGGAGGATTAGAGGTGATCCAATTATGGCCTACGATGTATTAAGCATTCGAAATCATCCAAACGTGAGCATCTTGCCGATGCATCACAACCAACCCCCTCGAGGGAATGCTCGAAAAATTGAAAACCAAAGTGCGAATACTCAGGTTCGAGAACAATTTTTCTCATTGACAATCGTCGCAAAATGGAATGCTCTCCCAGCCGAGGTAACCACAGCCCCCTCAGTGGACAGCTTTAAGAAGACTCGATAATCACGTAGTAACATACGGATTATCATCTCTCCCATGGACAAGCTGTGCCTGATGCATATCTTGAGACCTGCTAGTTGTTATCATTGGCATCTCCTCAGGACACTTAATTAATCCCGTCTATTATCTCTGTTTCCTCTCCCTTGCTGACGCTTCGGTCCTCTCTCACAATCTTCACTTCCAATTAATAAACTAAATTATCTATTAATTAAATTAGTTCTGTTATCTTATTCATATTAGCATTAGAATTTTCTCCTTATTACTCTCCACGTTGCAACTAACTGGTCTCCGGTCTGGTAATGTAACAGCTGCTGGTATCCAAAAACCTTACTGCCCTGAAACAAACGTATTCATTATAATCACGAGACATACACACTCACAACCAACTGCCAACTGACTAGAATTAGACAGTCAAGTGGCTAGAACCCTATGTGTTAGACACTACCAAACACCTGGGACCGTACCGAAAGAACAAGAATCTAGCACAAAGAAATTAACTTGTTCGCACTAGCTTGTGGAAAAGATATTTGATGTTGGAGCCGAATTACCACAAGGACAAAGTACTCTGTATCACATTATAGTGTTTCACATTGACGTAGATAATACAAATGCTAAAATGTAAACACTTATCATTGTTCTTAATTCTAACAATGATTGTTATATTGTGCTCCTTTTGTTTAACTGTACTAAGGACTACCGCGCGCTAAGCCTGTCTATCCCATTCCGCCTCTCTCCTCGGCTGCTGTTTTCCGCTCCTGTTTTCTGGTCGTGATATTATTTTGATATCACAAGGCCAGCGATATTTATACTTCTTCCTCCGGAACAGTCTTTTCCTTGATTTCTGGATTTTATCGGGATTTATTTGAACTCACTATAACATCTCATTATTACAAGAGCTTAGGTATTGAAAGCCTGCGCATGCCATCTTTTGTAACTCCAGTCTATGGAATGTTTGCGTTTGGCCAGAAAGTATCTCGATTGCTAGGGGGAAGTCAGGTTAACTAGGAGACGTAAGAACAAAAAAAGTGAGGCGACGACTCATTGAACTCATATAATATACTAACATTTAATAGAAACAGTACGGTACGATTCCAGGTATTTGGTAGTGTCCAATAGATGGGAGTCAAGTCACTCGACTGCACTAATTCTAGTCATTTAGCAATTGTTTGTCAGTGTCCCATGATTTTAATGAATACGTTTGTTTCAGGGCAGTAGGGTTTCTGGATACTAGCAGCCGTCACATTACCAGACCGGAGACCAGTTAGTTGCAACGTGGAGAGTAATAAGGAGGAAACTCTAATGCTAATAAGAAGATTTCAGAACTAAGTAAATAAATGAATATTTTAGTTTATTAATTGGTAGTGACGATTGTGCGAGAGGACCGAAGTGTCAGCAAGGAAGAGGACACAGTGATAATAAGCGAGGTACATTAAGTTGGTGGTCCGGCAATGATAACAACATACCAGTTCTGAAACATGAATCAAGCACAACTGGTCCACGAGGGAGATGATAATCCTTGTGTGAGTATTTATTTATCAAGTCTCTTCTTGAAGCAATCGACTGAGGGGGCTGTGGTCACCTCGGATAGGAGAGTATTCCCCGTACGGATAACTAGTAATGCGAAAACATGTTTACGAACCAGAGTGTTCGCTCTTCGGTGCGCAATTTTTTGAGGATTACCTCGTGGGTCGTGGTGGAGATGCATCTGCAAGATGCTCACGTTGGGATGGTTTGGGGTGTTTGATATGCTGTACGCCATATTAAGATTGTCTTTGATTCTCATTCAACTCAGATAGAATAATCCCAAGTGCTGTACTCTATCTACTGTCGTGGAACACTTCTACGAAGAAAACTCGATTGGTGAAAAATCAACATTTACTATTGCACTCGTTTTGTTTAACTGTACCAAAAACACTCGCACGCAGCGTTCTTTTACGCGTTGCTGCCATTTCTCATAACTTGCAGCTCTATGTAATGCCTACTTCCTCCTTCAAATGAAAGTTGAATCATGGATTTATTACTGTAATTTGTGACGGGAAAGTAATGAATATTTAGTGGTGATCTTAGTAAATCTCGACTCGGTCACCACTAGAATACCTTCAGGTCAAACTTTCTATTCCCCAGGTAGTTACTGAGCAAAGATAAAAGTGAATCAATGGAGCTCATTTTCGCAAGGATGTGAACGTGGGGTTCTGTGTCAAAAGGTTTTGCGAGTCAAGGAATATTATGTGCACTAGTATTATTTGGTCCCAGCAGGTTGTCCACCTGTCCCATTCTATCAGAAGAATTAAGGCGCATGACCTGCCTTTGATAGAACGAACAATGGCTTTTGGATTTACTTTTATTCATGAACCTAAGCAGAAACTTACGATTTGCCTGTATTTCGACAACCATCTTCATCTGAAAGTGTCTCTTATGACTTCGATTATTGTCACTGCATCTGTTTCTGAAGAACTACAGTAGGAATCATTCACAGAGATCTTTCACTCGTACCTGGACCTCCTTTGTGCTAGTAACAAGTGTTTAATTCCTAGCTTAACCCAGGTTCTTTTGTTTCCATGTATGTGACATCCCTGAGGTACACTTCTTAGGGCGGTATTCTGTCCGATGTATCTCGCTGTTTGATAGTGACTATATAGTGCCAGCCCCTGTCATTCCCGTGGCCATGGGGCACATAAAAGATTATCTTTCGTGAGTGTGCAATTTTCCATAGTGTAAAAAAGGAAGGGCTAGTTTTCGTCCTGCCTGACCATATTAAACAAGACTGTGCCATGGCTACTAATTCCTGTTGGTGTACGAACATGAAAATCCTCGACCAGGAGCTAATCATTTGTTCTTGGCTGCACCAAGTTGACTTTATTGCACTGACGACCTTCCAATACCCAATATATTTTTCACAAGCTGG